GCCAGCAAACACGACGTATAGCCAGTTCACTTTACTTCAGGATGCATTAATAAATTAATTAAATGTTGGTCTATTGGAGACATTCATAAATATTCCTAGCAAATCTGATAAATGTTGGAGACACTACATAAATGCACTAAATCGCACTTAAGCAGTGTTTATTTGAGAGCGTGCAAGATCTGCGCTTGAGCAGCATATATTTGAGGGGGCGTGAAAGAAGTTTTGTGCATGAACAAAAGAAATCCGGCGCGCAAGCACAGAGATTCGCATGCTCGTAGGCTATTACATAAGTGCAATCTCGACTTTATTGCGTTCACGACATTTGTCTTTGAAATAACACCACAGTTAGTTGGTAGATCTTTGTAAAAAAGGCCTGCCGCCAAAGCTGGAAAAAATCCTAGAGGAAACACTGCTGACGGTATGAAAACCTTGGATAAAAATATCACGGTTTCACGGTATGACGATTTTGTGATTACTGCTCTAAAACATGTTCTTTTTAAAAGTCTGGCTAAAAACAACAACTTTTTTCCTCCATTGAAGATAATATATTTTATTTGACTTCTGCTGTCTTAATTAGTTTTAAAAACACAGATTTCTTTACAACTTGAAAAGGCATCTTTGGATATCTTTCTTTTTTTGCATATAAAGTAAGCCACTGCACTGTTCAGGCCTATATAAGCATACTGATGTTGGTGCATGAGCAGTTTGTTTTTCAGATGTTTCCTGAATCATGGGCTGATCAATTAATCAATTTGGAAATTCCAGTTTCTTGACAACATTACACCTCAGTTAATCATTCTGACTTGACTTCACTTGACATCTTTGGTGCTAAGCCCCTTATCCGTTTCGACCCAAGCAATGCCCTTGGGTCAGCCGATAACTAGGCAAACAGCCCAGAAATCTTGAGAAGGTTTACCGAGATTCCTGACAAAACAGAGTAATATGAACAACAATAAAGAACTGACAATTTAGCAAAGAACTGCCTCTTAGATATAGCCGTGGTAATTAGCCAAATCTGGGCGGCTGATCAGAACAGCTGATCGTTGTAGCAATAAACCACGTGACCACAACACAGACAATACCAGAAGTGTGCACATACCTACAATCGTGAGAAATAGTTTATCTACAAATAAAAATATGAATAATAATCCCAATAATAGTAATGATAAAACACGTGTGAAACAAGAATATTTTGATAATAAAAGGATCACAGAATACTCAATTCCATACTTTGCCACTGTTCTTGTCAGTAATATGATCATTGTACTTTCATTCATTCATTTTCCTTCAGCTTAGTTCCTTATTCATCAGGGATCACTACAGCGGAATGAACGACTAACTATTCCGGCATGTGTTTTACGCAGGGGATGCCGTTCCAGCCGCAACCCAGTACTGAGAAACACCCATACACACTCATTCACACACACTCATACACTAAGACCAATTTAGTTTATCCAATTCACCTATGGTGCATGTCTTTGGACTGTAGGGGAAACCAGATCACCCAGAGGAAACCCAAGCCAGCTCGGGGAGAACATCCAAACTCCACACAGAAATGCTAACTGGCCCAGCCAGGACTCAAACCAGCGATATTCTTGCTGTGAGGCGACACTGCTAACCACTGAGCCACCTACAATTACTACAATTAGTCAACTTAGATATTTTAACAAATATATATCAGAAGAAGTATATTGTTTAATGTTTAATATAATAGCATTTCTCCCGTATTTTGACAACTTTTTATTTTTAAAAGAGTTATTTTGAAATATGAGAGTAAATGCTTTACCTACATCTAAAATGTTGCCTCTTTATGTAAAATTACTTAATATCAAAACATAATAGTTCTAATAACTGATTTCTTTTGTCTTTGCAATGATGACAGTACACAATATTTTACTAGATATTTTTCAAGAAACTAGTATTCAGCTTAAAGTGACATTAGATTACAAGACTATTTAGGATATTTAGCCAATCATTGTAATGTTTTTTTCTGTAGCCAATGGAAAAAAAAAAAAATTGCGTTAGGGGGCTAATAATATTGACGTTAAAATTATTTTTTTTATTATTAAAAACCGTCTTTCCTCTAGCCGAAATAAAACAAATAAGACTTTCTTTAAAAGAAAAATAAAATACTTATTAAATACTATAAAAATGTCCTTAATCTGTTAAATATCAGTTAAGAAATGTTTTAAAATATAGATATTGCATAGGAGGGCTAATCATTTGGACATTTTTTAAAAAGGTATGATACACAACAAGTCTGTCTAGTTCCTGAATCTGATTGGCTGATAGCCGTGCGATATTCTGCAATATCAGCACTCGAATAGCTTTGTGCATTACTCTGCCCACATAGAGTGACAGTAAATCAATAAACTCACTACAGTTTGACAAATATTACAGCTAATGGACAACATAATGTACTTTTGAGGCTTAATTTAGGCGATAATGTAGTTGTTTAGATTGCAATTACGCATTTTATTTATAAGGATAGTGTCTATTTTAAAGGTTTATAATTTCAGAGATACAGCGCGTCAGTATCCATCAGCCTGTCATACTGAACAGAGCAAACACGGTTGATGTTCCACCACAAGATGGCGACAGAGACCACATAATAAGCCATGATAATAGAGGAGAAAAACTCAGTAAATTTCAAACTACAGCTGACAATATCATTATAAAACAGGTTAGTGACTTACTAAGTCGATCTCTTTTTTTTTATGTTGTAGTGTATTTATACCATAGTAATCTGGTAGTGTTTCTGGTAGTGTTTGTGCTGCTTTGAACTTTTCAGGGTTAATTTTTGTGATCTCCCGATTGCAACAGAGAAATACTGGGAAATCATTTCATGCTGTTCAGCCTTATAATCATAAAATGTGAGCAAAATCACCTGTTTTGTCTTCACTGTAGACATTACGCTACAGAATCATTCAAACACTAGTTCTAAAATGAAGTTTGTGAACAGGTTTCTGCTGTTCTGAGGTCAGCTGCAGATGTGAAGGAATGGCAGAAGAAAATAGTTCCTCATACAAAAGGGTTTTTAGACTGTCCGTGTTTGATTTTTTTATACACACGATTGTGCCGTCAAACTGTTGTATAAAAGCAATATCACCTGAAGAGCAGTGTGATATGGCTGTATATCGGCACTGGTGGGACACTAAAGGCTGATTTATACTTCTGCATCAAACGGCGGCGTATGCTACGGCGCTGACGCATAGCCCTTCGCCGTGGCCATCGGCGTCGCTGAAATATCCTCTCTGTGATTGGTAGCGTTGACGAGTCTGGGCGGGACCGAGAGCATCGCGAATGGTGCGAGCCTGATGGAGCGATTGTTTACAAGTGTGGAGTCCTGTGAAGGAGCTCCGGATGGAAAGTTTTGTTTTGTGTTTAACTCATAGTAAAAGTTGTTGCACGTCCGACGGTTCCTGCCTCGAAATGACCGAGTTTGAGCCACTTGAACATCTCGGAAGTGTTCAGGAAAAGCAAAAAAGCAGAGAAGAAACTCGACACAGAGAAACATTAACACCTCACTGTCAACTAGAGTTTCGGAAGTGTTAATGCAGACCAACAGAGACAGCGCACAGAAGTATAAATGCACAGCTACGCGCGTTGCATGCGCAGTGGGTTACGCCGGTCACTTGACGCAGAATTATAAATCAGGCTTAAGGCACTTACGCCCTATTCACACGGGGCGTCAGCGTCAACGCTTCCCATTCACTTTGAATGGGTGACAACAGGCGTTGCCGAACTGCATTGTGGATCCGTCGGCGCTGCTTCAGAAGCGTTCCTCGCTGCAGAAGTTGGGACCAGCTCAACTTTTCAAGCGGCGACGGAAGCGTCAGCCAATCAGATCGCTGTATGCAAATACACCAGCTCAGACAGTGGCCTATTGCTGACTGAATTTCATTGGCTGACGCTTCTATGACGATCGTTTCAGCTCCAACTTCAGACACGCCCTCTGTCAAGCGTTGACGCTGAAGCACCGTGTGAATAGGGCGTTAGCCTGTGGCCTCGAGTCACGCATGCCTCCCACCAGTGAGATATACAGCCACAACGCACTGATAAGAGTTTGATATTGCTCATTTATTTATCAATTTGCCAAATGATAAGTTGGCGGTTCATTCCGCTGTGGCAACCCCAGATTAATAAAGGGACTAAACCAACAAGAAAATGAATGAATGAATGAATGAATGAATGATAAAGCATATGGATATAAAAAAGGAGTGGAAAAACAGCTACATGCACATGAATTAACTTCTCACTGTGATCCGCATTTTAAGTATGAATCAACAAGGTAAACATTAATATTCTAGTCGGTTGCAGTATATTCAAAGTAGCAGCATAGCATTTCTAGCATTTTGGCAGTGCTACCAGGAGCCGCATAAATCCACAATGTTGGCTTTATCAGAAAGCAGCACAATGTACTAACATTTGTACCTCCCTGACCCTTAGCCCAAAGAACCCGCAGCATTCGGTTCCCCCGTAAAATGAGAAACTGCATGGCCAGGCTAATGAAACAATTACTCAGCCAATTTAGCTCGTTCTCCAGGCATCATGTTGTAAATATGGCAAGCACTGAAACTTAATTGTTATTTACCTTAGGGGTTTAATGCAGCGATGCTTTTCCTAGGCCATTAACATTAGTTTTAAACATTTTCAAATGCCGTTTCTAAGTAGTCTAATGGCCGTAATGGAGTCATATCATCGTTTTAGCGAGAAATAATGCTTAAATAGTTTCATTATGCTTATTTATTCAATGGATTTAGCATTATAATCTGTCCTGTGGATGTTCTAGCTCCTGTACAAACACAAAATACCTTTACAGCACACATTATATAGCAAGAAATGGAACATTCTACACCCCTCAGATTGGCCTTATAAATGCTTTATGCGTTTTATCTGCTGTTTAAACTGATCCACTAGAGAACAATTCAGCTTTATGTTCGGTAATAATTCCAGAACAGGGTGTGCGGAGGTTCTGATGGCATTTTCTTTACATATACATCTTACTTGAGCACTTTTAGCTTGCGTCTTATTGGCCAGGGTTTGATCCGGATGTTGGCGATGATTTCTTTCTGAAACTGAATGTTCTGGAACATCTCCTCGGGATCATTACTGTCCACTCGCTCTCCGTCTTTATCTTCGTCATCAGACGGCCTGAAACACAATTGAAAGATCAATGTAATCACTTTAATTAGTAACATGGCAACATCATGCCATTCTTGTGGGTTTTTTTTTTGGGACAACTTAATTATTTTATGTTCAATCCACTTAAATTTGTAAAAACAACAGTAAAAAATAATAATAAAAATATATATTTTTGCTGCTTGTTCAAACTACTTAAAATAAGCAAAATAACACTCGTCTAATGTTTTTTTGGGGGGTGGGGACTTGATTGTGTTATGTTTAATCCACTTAAATTTGTAAAAAAACAACACTAAAAATAATAATAAAAATATATATTTTTGCCATTTGTTCAAACTTCTTACTTAAAATAAGCAAAATAACAATCGTCTTGTGTTTTTTTATTTTTATTTTTTTAATTAATTATTTCATGTTTAATCCACTTAAATTTGTAAAAACAACACAAAAAATACAGGGTGGGCCATTTATATGGATACACTTTAATAAAATGGAAATAGTTGGTGATAATGACATCCTGCTTGTGGCACATTAGTATATGTGAGGGGGCAAACTTTTCAAGATGGTTGGTGACCAAAATGGCCATTTTGAAGTCGGCCATCTTGGATCCAACTTTTGTTTTCTCAATAAGAAGAGGGTCATTTGACACATCAAACTTATTGGGAATTTCACAAGATAAGCAATGGTGTGCTTGGTTGTAACGTAACTTTATTATTTCATGAGTTATTTACAAGTTTCTGACCACTTATAAAATGTGCTCAATGTGCTGCCCATTGTGTTGGATTGTTAATGCAACCCTCTTCTCCCACTCTTCACACACTGATAGCAACACCACAAGAGAAATGCCAGCACAGGCTTCCAATATCAGTAGTTTCAGGTGCTGCACATCTTGGATCTTCACACCATAGACAATTGCCTTCAGATGACCCTGAAGATAAAAGTCTAAGGGGGTCAAATCGGGAGACATTGGGGGCCATTTAATGACCAATTCACTTTTCAGGAAACTGTTCATCTATGAATGCTCGGACCTGACAACCACAATGTGGTGGTGCAACATCTTGCTGATACAACTCAGGGAACGTGCCAGCTTCAGAGCATAAAGAGGGAAACACATCATCATGTAGCAATTTCAAATATCCAGTGGCCTTGAGGTTTCCACTGATGAAGAATGGCCCCACTATCTTTGTTGTCTATGGTGTGAAGATCCAAGATGTGCAGCACCTGAAACTACGTGTACTCTTGAACCGCATCTGACAGAAGCATAACAGCTTTAACACACGTCTTTCTTTCAAAATTAAAGTTTTGCATCTAGGCATGGGTCGGTATAAGATTCTGACGGTATGATAACCTTGGATAAAAATATCACGGTTTCACAATATTGTGATTTCTTTCTAAAATATGTTTATGTTAAATGTCTGGGTTAAAAAACAAAAACGTTTTCCTCTTTGAACACAATATATTTTATTCTGAGAAACATTTAGGCTGCGTCCGAAACTGCCTACTACTCAGTAGGTACTGCATTTGAATTTAAACGTACTACTCGGCCGTTAGAAAAGTACGTTCTATACAGTATGAATGTGAAAAGTATGAATGGAATTCGGACGTACTACATCCGCCATTTTGTCATGGTCACATGACCTACCTGCGTCAGTTGCGTCGCTTTCCTTCCATTCATGAATTCGCTCGCGGGGCATTATGGGATAGCGCAGCATGCATGGGATGCGCACTCCGGAATCACGCCAGAAGTAGTAAGTCATCCGGGTACTTCTCGCATACTGATTTTCGAATTCTATGAATTCGGACATACTACTCGGCTCGCATACTGATTTTGGTGTACTATATAGTATGGAAGTATGCGGTTTCGGACGCAGCCTTATAATATTTTGAAGCCGTAAACATGTCAGACTAAATAACTCAAACGAATCATTGACTTCTGCTGTCTTTATCAGTTTCAAAAGCACTGATTAATTTACAATTTAAAGCGGCATCTTTAGATATCTTTTCTGCTGGAGATACTGTTGTCCTAAATAACTAAAAAAAAACATAAATAAAAAAAAAAATCGTACACATACCTTAGGAACGGTATAACAGGAAATGTTGGCGGTTTTAAAACCTTAACTTTTCCAAACCACGGTATACCTTGAACACTCAGTATGCCACTGTAAACAGTATTGACACCCAGCAGAGAACGGAAGTTCTAAGCATCCTACCAGAAGGAGCTGGCCATTATGGCACCCTCCATGCAGCAACAAAAAAAAGGTCTATATTTAAAGCAGGTGCACTCTACAAAATAATCATAATCAGCATAAAATTATGCAAATTCTTTCCAAATAGAGCTAATAATTTCATCTGGTGAAATTATTCACAATATTGCAATATCGTCACCTTAGAGTTATAAGGTTATATCTGACATTTTTGTCAAAATTGAGTTATTGACATATACTTATTAATTGACAATTTATTTACATTATGGTATGTTTTTTATAAGTTGTTTACATTTTAAGACTTTTATTTAAAAATAAATGTTACACATATACTGTTTGCTATATTGAATGCAAAAAACTTTAAAGTTCAATATCTCTAAATCATTGAGAAAGCAGATAGAACCTTATAATTCCAAGGTGGCGATATGTATTGCACAAAAATAAGTTCAATTCAATTCAAGTTTATTTCCCTTGTGTTTTTATAAAGTAGATTGTGTCAAAGCAGCTTAACATAGAAGTTCTAGTGAATTGAAACAGCGTCAGTCCAGTTTTCAGAGTTCAGTTCAGTTCAATTTAGTGTGGGTTCATTTTCACTGCTAAAAGTCCAAACACTGAAGAGCAAATCTATTGATGGGCAGCTCCACAAATAAAATATTGCAATGTCAGTTTTTATCAATATCGTGCAGCTCTAGTTTTAACTTGTGTAATAAAAATATATATATTGGGTGGAATAAAATTGATTTCAACCTACAAATAAAAACATTTGTTATTAAGACCAACTGCAATTTTCTGAAATAAATAAATAAATAAATAAATGTAATATTAAAAATAAATCCTTGTAATATTATAAGACCTTTTTAATATAAATAAAACCAATTTTACTCAAATGCACATACCTAAATAATCCAGCACAATCCCGAACATAAAATGCAAACAAACAAAAAAAATTACATTGGATATATTCATCTAGTTTATTTGTGATCCTCACATTTAGAAGCTTCAGATTTAAAATTTTTAATCACACTGCAAATACACAAACCTAAATAATCCAGTACGTTCCAAAACATAACAATAAAACATATTGCATAAATTAATAGTTTATTTGTAATCTACACATTTAGAAGCTTCAGGTGTAAATGTTCAACTACGAAGCAAAAGCACACATACTTTAACTAATAACAACCACAACCACAAATATACAGTTGAAGTCAGAATTATTAGCCCCCCGTTTATTTTGTTCCCCAATTTCAGAGAAGATTTTTTTTCAACACATTTCAAATCATAATAGTTTTAATAACTCATCTCTAATAACTAATTTGTTTTATTTATTGATTTATTTTATCTTTGACATGATGAGAGTAGATAATATTTGACTAGATATTTTCAAGACACTTTAATACAGCTTAGAGTGACATTTAAAGGCTGAACTAGGTTAATTAGGTTAACTAGGCAAGTTAGGGTAATTAGGCAAATCATTATATATCGATGGTTTGATCTGCAGACAATTGAAAAAAATGCTTAAAGGGGCTTATAATATTGACCTTAAAATGTTCTTTAAAAAAATTAAAAACTGCTTTTATTCTAGCCGAAATAAAACAAATAAGACTTTCTCCAGAAGAAAAAATTTTATCAGACATACTGTGAAAATTTCCTTGCTCTGTTAAACATTATTTGAGAAATATTTTAAAAAGAAAAACATTCAAAGGGGGGGCTAATAATTCTGACTTCAACTGTATATACAAATAAGACAGATAATGCAATACTCTACAAGTGTCAGGTGTAAAATTTGACAATGTCATTTAATAATAATAAAAATAACAATGAAAATAATTTAAAAGATTTGGTCAAACTTACCCATTATTATCATGATATGGGGAATAAATCCTCCTGGAATTCTTTCGGATGCTCTTGTGCCTCTTGGAGGATATGAGTGGTCTGGTTATAGTAGCTGGTTCAGCCATTTCCCAGTGTTAAAACTTTCTGCAGTGTTCAGACAGCGTGTGTCCCATCTGTAGGAGTTTCAGAGCAGAAATGAGGAGCTCGACCTGCCTGATTGGATCCCTCTGAAACGCTGCAGAAGCCCCTCCACCAGAGGAGTTCAAGCTCACGATCACTCCAATGACAGCTGGACGGGCTTCTTAAAGAGACAGCCACCACTGCAACCTGCTGATAAATGCATATACTCAAGTGATTCTGATGAGAGAGGAAATATTACACAATATTAAACGTATACAGTTGAATGCCCAAAATTATTAGCCCTCCTTTTAGGTTTGTTATCTTTTTATATTTCCCAAATGATGTTTAACAGAGCAAGGAATTTTTCACAGTAATTCCCAAAATATTATTTCTTCTGGAGAAAGTCCTATTTGTTTTATTTCGGCTAGAATAAAAGCAGTTTTTAATTTATATATATATATATATATATAAAAATTAAGGTCAATATTATTAGCAATATTTTGTTTTGATTGTTTTTAAATGTCACTTTAAGCTGAATACTAGTATCTTAAAAATATCTAATAAAATATTATTTACTGTAATCATGATAAAAATTAAAGAAATCAGTTATTAGAAATGAGTTATTAAAACTGTTATGTTTTGAAATGTGTTGAAAAAAAATCTTATTTACTTTAAACAAAAATCCGGGAATAAAATATACAGGGGGGCTAATAATTCTGACTTCAACTGTATATATTTAACATATAAGTATTGCATTGATTTGTCCTCATTTATTCCCCACATGATGTGATTTCTTGTGTGAAACCCAAAAGTCAAATGGCTGAGCTTCTGTATGTCATATAATGAAGGTGAAGAGTGATTTATAAAAGGTACAGTATGTTCCAAACCAAATTAAAACAAGCCGTATAAAAAAATAACATTACAGTAGCTCATACTGTACAACTTGTTTATGATATTCTAAAGCAGTTTGCTATTATTTAAAAAATGTTGATATTTTGAAAACAGTTTATGAAAAAAAGTTGTTTTAGTATCAAATGAGTGATTTTCTTCGGTTTTTTTTATTGTTTGGATTTTCCCTCATAGATTTGTTTTAATGTTAGCTTTTTCATTGTATTATTATATATGTTATTATTGTTATTGTTTTTAAAAATATATATTTTTTCATTGCAAACTTTTATATCTAATATATGCAATTATTTTCTATTTTTAAACTATTTCAATGTGGTCATGTCATTGTCCCATGAATATTTCCAGCTTGTTATCAAACTATTTCATCACTGTAACAAGAATTGATTTAACCATAATTTAATGTTAAAACAGCTATCATAACATAATTTATCAATATGTGGCTCTTTTTGGATTTTTAAAAGCTTTAAAAAATTAAAAATGTAAAACAGTAAATACGTTGGGACCATTGTTGTTTACATTCCTCAAAATGGTCTATATAAATGTTTAATTATAAATAGATTTAAAGACAAATGTTACATTAATATTTAAATAATACATTTTTTGTTCATTTTTTACAGTTTTATTTAACTTTAATATTGTTTCATGCAGTTCTATATCATTTTAATTATTTGTTTATTTTAGTTAATTAGTTATTTTGGTTAAACCAACAAAACTAACTGAAATAGTAAGTTGATATAGAAAACATCTGTTTTACCTGTTACTATTATTTATTGGACCTCAGCTAACATTACCAAAAAATGTATTCATTTATTTTTCTTTAGCTTAGTCCCTTTATACATCAGAGGTCGCCGCAGCGAAATGAACCACCAACTTATCCAGCACATGTTTTAGGATGCTCTTCCAGCTGCAACCAACTACTGGGAAACACCCAAACATTTTCATTTACACACATACACCATGGCTAATTAAGTTTATTCAATTCACCTATAGTGCACGTGTTTGAACTGTGTGGGTAACTAAAAATGAACACTTGTATTTGTAAAAAATAATGTCGTAAAAAAAATAAGATAAGAATAGTATCTTAGTAAAAAAGAAATATTACCCTTAGGTAATATTTGTAATTTTTTTTTAATAAGGCTCATAAACATGACCTTTTGGTTAATATTTATCAGTTAATAATGTTTCTGTGCCCCTAAATCTCAATTGTGGTCATGTTGTCCATCTTTCGGATGAGACATTAAACCAAGATCATCAATGTGGTCATTAAAAATCCCTTGGCACTTCTCATAAAGAGTAGGGGTGTAACCCCGGTGTTCTGGCCAAATATCGACCTCCCAATCATCCCAATCCACTGAATTGGCTCTATCACTGTCTCTCCACTCCACCAATAGCTAGTGTGTGGTGAGCGCACTGGTACTGTTGTCCTCTAGATGCCATCGCACCATCCGTAGATGCTGCAAACTTGTGGTGGCATCCTCATGATTGTGAAGCACTTTGGGTGTATGGCCATATACACAATTAATGACCTATATAAATACACATCACATTACATGTTTCCAAACTGTGAAATTTAGAAAACAATGGAGTTTGTGTGAAATAAGTTTTTATTATTTTTTTTTAATTGAACACCCTCACAAATGTGTCCATTGAATCCTGTCTTTTTAATATTTAAACTACCTAAAGCTCCGATGGCACCTCAAAATCATGAAAATTTTTCAGCTGCTCTCTTGACAATGATTAGCATTGTATTCTGTCATCAATCATCATAATTTTCTCTGGAGGTTTGTCTGAGCGGTAATAAACATGCAGATAATATACCTAAAAACCACACAATGAATTTTAAGTAGGCTCACACTGGCGAATATCCAGTTTTCGGTATAAAGTGGCCTCTGAGTGTGCTGAAATTCAACAATATCCTCACGTACGTGCAAAATAAACGCCCCCACTTGCTAAAGAATAAAAGCCATATAGAAGCTCCGTATGATAATGTGCCATATGTAACAGTAGCTCACCGCTTTCAGATGTCCACATGAGCAGAAGGCTAGTTTAAACTCTTTTATAGGGCACATCAGGAAAAAAAAAGGCCCAATCAAGGCAAAAACTCTTAAATTGATGAAAAAGTCTAAATTCTAAAATGCTGCTTGTAATACTTTCACACATAATGATGCTTTCAGCAACCAACAATAAACATATATAACAAGCAGATGAGAAAAATAGATATAATCAAATAAAAACTGACATTAGGCTGATTGTTTTTTTTCCAAATTCAATAGTTTGCAACTTCAGTTCATTAATTTTCCTTCAGCTTAGTTCCTTTATTCATCAGTGATTGCCACAGCAGAATGAACCTCCAACTTATCCAGCATACTGTTTGTTTAAAGCAGCGGCAACCCAGTACTAGGAAACATTCATACACACACATACAATAAGGCCAATATAATTTATTCAATTCACCTATACCGCATGTGCTTGGACTGTGGGGGAAACCGGAGCACCCAAAGGAAACCCAGACCAACATTGAGAGAACATGCAAACTCCACACAGAAATGCCAACTGACCCAGTCGGGACTTGAACCAGCAGTCTTCTTTCTGTAAGATGATCATTGAACTAACCACTGAGCCACCATGTCACCCCACAACTGTTATAACTTATGCCGAGTTCAGACTGCAGGATTTTTAAAATAGTCGTGTCACAGATGTTTTCCCACTGCATGACTATCTGGGCTAGCGTTTTGTCACTGCTTGTTTACACTGCAAGATGGATCAGCGACAGGGGCTTTCACATTGCATGACTTTACAATAGGAAGAATTGACTTCGTAAAAACTACGTGTCACAGCCAAAAACTTGTAGTATATCTTTTGTTATTAACTACATTTCAAGAGTTCAAACTTAGCTGATGATTGATAATAAGGCTAGTTTGGCGTGCTATCCCGGGAGAGAGCCCTGAGCTTATAAGATCCTTGAGCCCTGGGCTCCCTCCCGTTGCAAGGCGAGAGGGGAGTGTGAGCTCAGGTAGATCTCGATGACTCCCCCTCTTGCTTATTGTAGCTAAGTGTCAGATATGGATGATGAAGGTGTACTCAGAGTTTAGCTAAAATGTTTTGGATTGATTGTTTAGAGTGCTTGTTTTTGAACTGTGGGAGGAAACCGGAGGACCCGGGGAAATCCCACGCGACCACTGGGAGAACGAGCAAACTCCGCACAGAAACGCCGTCTGGTTTGGAAAGGAAATAAACCAGGGGCATTCTTGCTGTGAGGCAACAGCGCTAATCGCTGGCCACCATGACGCCCGTTTAAAAGGAGGGAAAGTAGGGTTGGGCTCAGAAAAAGTCTGGTTATTTATAGTGAGTTAAGGATCGTCTGATAGGATAATCAGTTATTAGCTAAAGTCGGAATAGCTGTGAACAATCATAAGTATGTGATCCTCTCGAAATTTGTTTATAAATAAACTTCACAACGAGAAAGAAGCCTTTAATGGGGTAGAAAATGTACATCTTTGCTCACCTGGGTTTGAAAGGAATTAGCAATCTCTCCTCAACTTTCTTTATGGACGTGGTCGTGGTATTGCTCACATGACACGTCAAACAAATATGAGTGCTCCTGCCAAATTTACACTAGTTTTTCCTCCATTTCTTGGGTCTAAATAAACCGAAAATGAGCGCTTTTAACTTCTCCCCTAACCTCCCGCTGGCCTGCAGGTACACACACACACTAGTCTAGTGAATGCTGCTCTCTCATTGGCTGTAGGCACATGGTCGATGTTATTTTCAGTCAAAACTCATTGCACACGGCATGATTTGAATCACCGACAGCTCCAGATATTTAGCATGCCAAATATCTCACAGGCATCGGCGACTCATCGACGATTCTCTCAGATCGCATCTTTGATAGTTCACACTGTGTGATTGTCACTCACGTGCACGAGCACCGATTTGCCTGTGATTTCAGACATTTGTTGGCGAATTCTCAAAACCTGTCGGCGAGTCAAAATCGGGGCTAAAATCACGCAGTCTGAACTAGGCATAAGTAAATTAAACAATATTTCTTAAAAAATGTAGTCATTCACTTAATACACTACAGTAGCATAAACCAACAGAGAAAAGAAAATTTGGGACCCCTCTTTTTTAACATGGGCAGTTTGAAAATTCTATAGAGATTTTAGAGTAGGGATGGACCAAGATTCTATGCCAAA